GGAGCCGCTCCGCTGCGAAGCACCACCCCGACCAGCTCCACCTCCTCCACCACCGCCGCCTCCACCTCCGCCACCACCGCCGCCTCCGCTCCCACCGCTACCTCCGCCGCCGCCTCCGCCTCCGCTGCTGCCACCGCCACCTCCACCCCCGCCACCACTCCCACCGCCACCCCCACTCCCTCTGCCGCCTCCACCGCCACCTCCACCACCCCCGCCACCACTTCCACCGCCACCCCCACTCCCTCCGCCGCCTCCACCGCCACCTCCACCACCCCCGCTAGCTCCACCCGCGCCCTTGCCCCCCTTGCCCTTGCCAGAGCGGCGTCTCCTGCTAGGGGCAGACGCCGCACCGATCGACTCAAGACCAACTAGGTCGGCCGCAGCAGCAGAGGCAACAGAGGGCAACAGGGGGGAAGGGGAACACCCCTCAAAGATGGGGGTGCGAGGGTCACCACGAGAGGCTCCTACAGCGACTATGCTCTTCTCCGCTGCTAGGAGGGCCTTCTCTAGGAGGTCAAGAGTGAGAGTGGTGGGACAGACTGAGAGGAAGTGGTCCCTGACTACGCGGAGGGAGTCAGGGAGGCGGGTGACTATATAATAGAGAGTGATGTACATGGAGGGGGGGGTTCTTGGCGCAGAACTCAGCAGGAAGCGCAGCGCGGTAGCGAGTGTCACTAGTGCGGAGGTGCGTAATGAGGTCAGCGACTGTGGGAAAGGCAGCAAGGTCAGGAAAGAGGTACGGTAGCATGAGGCGGCTCAGTGAAGCATTGGCAGGGGAAGAGTAGCGTGCAACTACTGCGTCGTACAAGGTCTGAGCACTCTTGTACTGACTAAAGTGCGCGCGCTCAGTGGTAGGCAGGTGGCGACGCACAGCAAGACGTGCAGCAGCATTGCGCCTGGCCCAATGGGAGTGAACAGTGGGGTCGGCATCAACAGCAGGGGCAGGAGAGGCGCTAGAGGTGAGGTCAAAGAGGGAGAGACCGTCTGCCCTATCGCACTGTAGGAAAAGCTACAGGTCATCTACCCAAACCTCAAAGTCAATGGCTCGACCCTCAGCGTCAAAAGCGAGAACACTGGGGGTAGCCATGACAGCAGTAGACTAGGAGTACCAACTGTAGGACAGGGGCAGTGCAGTGACAGAAGCGCTGCTCTCACCAGACAGGGCGGGTCGGGCAGCTCAGAAGTACAGCAACACGGCAACACGGCTGCTTGGACGGCACAGCAGCAACTGCGGCTCCGTGGCACCAGCGGCTCGGCTCCTCAGGCGGCTCGGGCGGCTCAGGCGGCTTGGGTGGCTCGGGCGGCTCGGGCGGCTCGGGCGGCTCGGGCTGGTCGGGCGGCTCGGGCGGCTCGGGAGAGTCGGGCGGCTCGGGCGGCTCGGGCGGCTCGGGCAGGTCGGGCGGCTCGGGCGGCTCGGGCGGTTCGGGCGGCTCGGGCGGCGCGGGCGGTGTAGGGCGGCAGGGCCGCTGGTGAAAGGGGCGGCGGGGCCGCAGTGAAGGGGCGGCAGGGCCGCTGGTAAAGGGCGGCGGGGCCGCTGAGAAGGGCGGCGGGGCCGTTGAGAAGGGCGGCGGGGCCGCAGTAGAAGGGCGGCGAGGCCGCTGAGTAGGGCGGCGGGGCCGCTGAGAAGGGCGGCGGGGCCGCAGTAGAAGGGCGGCGGGGCCGCTGAGTAGGGTGGCGGGGCCGCTGAGAAGGGCGGCGGGGCCGCAGTAGAAGGGTGGCGGGGCCGCTGAGTAGGGTGGCGGGGCCGCAGCGAGAGAGGCGGCGGGGCCGCAGTGAAGGGCGGCGGGGCCGCTGAGACGGGCGGCGGGGCCGCTGAGACGGGCGGCGGGGCTGCTGAGACGGGCGGCGGGGCCGCTGAGACAGGCGGCGGGGCCGCAGCGAAGGGCGGCGGGGCCGCTACGTGAGGCGGCGGGGCTGCAGCGAAGGGCGGCGATGCCGCGAAGAAGGGCGGCGGGGCCGTTGAGACGGGCGGCGGGGCCGCAGCGAACGGCGGCGGGGCCGCAATGTGAGGCGGCGGGGCCGCAGGGAGGGGCGGCGGGGCCGCAGCGAAGGGCGGCAGGGCCGCGAAGAAGTGCGGCGGGGCCGCAATGTGGGGCAGCGGGGCCGCAGCGAAGGGCGGCGGGGCCGCTGAGAAGGGCGGCGGGGCCGAATCGACGGGCGGCGGGGCCGCTAGGGCGGCTCGACGAGGTGAGAGCCCGGAGCGCGACTCGGGTTGAGCGCGCTTCGGGCAGGAAAAAAAAAAGATCGATGTGGTGGGCCCTAGGCACAGTTCCCACGGGGGAACCTGCTCGATACCATGAGGAAAGTAGAACAAGAATGAATGACTAAGGAATGGAAGTGATACAAATATGCAACCCTAGAAATGTGTACCCCGTATAGGCTACCCCACTATAGCTTACACAATATTATAATTTGACACCATCCACGAGGCGGGCGTCGATTTCGGGGAGACACCTGTCAAGTTGCAGCTTGCATTTTTTTGCGCTCGCCAAATTGAAGAGGCTATGACTGGCCCCTCCATAGACGAACATTTTCAAGTTATTTTTTAACATCTTACCAACGACCAGCACTGGGTGATCCACGTGATTATCCCCGTTATTCGGCCGAGTGCGATCGATTGCATGAATCGGAACCACGACTCGGTGGGGATGGTGGGGTTCGGGCGACGGAGCACAGTCAGTAAAGGGCCCGCTAATTACTGACTCTTCCCATTTCCCTGCTCGTTCCTGTCGTTCCGCGTCAGCGGCGTTTTCTCGTGGCAGTCTTTCATGTAGTGACCCGTCTTCCCACACCGGTAACACGGTCCCTTAGGAGGGCGGTCGGGTGTATGGACGGCGTTGATCGTGGTCCGATGGGTCTAGCCACGAAAACGGTTTCCCTCCCGGGAAGCTGCTCTCGCGTACTGCATCAGCGCATCTGTGGACTCCGCCAACTATACTGCTGCAAGAAATGACGTCGGACGGCCCCTGCGAACCTCGTACTGTATCTCGTATTTGAGGCCGCTGATGTATTTATCCAGCCGTTCAGCTTCCGACATGTCATCGACTTGGTCGGCGAGGCTCATGAATGACGCCGTGTAGTCTTGGACAGAAGCCATCTGCGACCATGCACGCAGCTTCATGCGAGCTTGCTCCGAGGTGGATACGTGCTCGAAGCGACCTCGTAAGGCTGCGCCCCACTCCTTCCACATGCGTATCGTGGTCACTCCGAAGATCGATGTTGCCACTTGATTAGTCACTGTTGAGGTCCCGTCTGCCGCATGTGTCACACCTGTCGGCGTCCCTGTTTCCAAGGTTCGGCGCCACCACTCAAGCGCTGCACCTCGAAGAAGCGAAACTGCGTAATTAATACGCGTGGCGTCGTCATTAACTCCGGCTGCAGTAAAAAAGACTTCGACCCCGAACAGCCACCCCTTCACCGTAACCGTCTTGTCCGTAGGATTAAACGGGGGTGGGTTGACGGGCTTGATCTTGATCGTTGTCACTGCAACTGGTGCTGCTGCCGCTCGCTGCCTGTCCTCTTCTTCGAAGTCACGTGTGAGCGCATCCAATGGATTGCTCATCGCCTGAGTGTTGCCCTCGCCTTCGTCCACAGGCGACTCCTGACGCGCTTCACCTCGCGTCTGGCGTAGTTCGGCGTTTTCCTCTCGCAATGTCGTCACTTCCGCCATTAACGTCTTCATGCTTTCCTGCATTTCTGCCGCTTGCGCCATCATCCTGTTGACCGCTTCCTGATCCATATGCCTAACGCTACGTCTGGTGGGCAATCGGGTCTCCGTGGCCTTCAGGCAAATGAAAACACGAACTATTGGAGTCGGGCAGGATTGAATTAACAATCCCTGCAGCCAACCATCGTGTAGTCACTAAACCAGCCACACCCTATGCCACCAAACTACCCTCGGAAAAGCGGGGCGAACTAGGAAATTAGCTCTGATACCAGGTGTTATGAGTTGTAAAAGAGAGTGCGCAGGTAAACGAATAACGAGACTGTGACTGAATCAACTGCGAATACAATGAATGCACAGACTAATGTAGGCCTACTCTAGCTAGGAGGAAACCTCGGACGAGCGAGGTTGGGTGCAGGTTTGGCGATGGAAATGCCGAAGGCGACGCGAGGAGCCTTGGCAGCGTTGAAATCGGCCGAACGTGCGAACTCCGAAAATCGGGTTGTACGCGAAGCAGTCAACCCCGATAAGGAATTCGGGAAAATTCCTTACAGTTTTGTTCTCCGAGGTCTGGTCTCTCGTCGTTCAACATCGACCACCCATCTGTTGGTCCAATTCAACAAAATGTTGAGTTCTCAAAATTGCTTTTTGAACCGCTACATCCGCGAACCTTGTGCGTTCCTTTCGAACGAGCTCAACCACTCGTTTGTGCCGAATTCGCTACCTGATGTTGAATATGCCTTAGTTACGCCTCGGGGGCATAGCTTTGTTGAAGAACCGGGGGTTGAAGCTGCCCCAGTCGACATTCAAATCAGCCATGACTTTTGCGATGTGGTGAGAGGAACGAGTGTAAATACTAGTAGTACATGAGAGTTCTTGCATCACACATCGATGCAATAACTCCCACGGTGCATCTGGCGAGCATGATGCTGAAGCCCACCTCTTGCTCACACTGTTCTTTCTCTCATCACCGCATTCGCCTTGGGTGAAGCATCTTCGCATCATGGTGGCAGGTGACAGTGAAGTGATGCGCCGTGGAGGTGACAGAAGGTGTGTAACAAACTTACATCCCACACAAAAGAATTTGTACTTCTTCCTTACCCTATCTGTGCTTCCATCCATTGTTGCAAGGCACGGTTCTGTCACTTTCGAGCCTTTGCCTATGTTTGCTGATGGAAGGATGAATCAGAGCACAGCTTTCCTGTGCAATGCCAGCAGCTGTCAGCCTCTCCTTCTCAACGCCTAAAAGTACGGTCTTACCTCGCTCTCTCGCGCCCCCTACTTCTCCCCACACCAACAGCACCTGTCCTCGTGAAGAGCCCAACCTATCGCTGTGATGGACAGCCGGGCAGCTTGTGAGGCACGGGCTGCAGCAGCAGCAGTGGTGGCAGCGAGTGAGTGGAGGAAGACGGGCTGGAAGAAGGCGTGGGAGAGAAGAGCGAGACACCAGAAGCTAGCTGCACGCTGAACCTTTAGGCTCCACGCTGGTCGAATGCTGGTCATTCGGGTCTTCTAGGCTGCATGCAAAGAGTGAAGAGGTTTGAGCGAGCCAGCACATGTCATCATCGCATGCCGTGACTGAGGGTGTGGTCAATCATGTCTGTGGTGCTTCACTTCACCTACACATCGACTCTTTCCATTTTCGCCTACCACTTCTCGACATGATCTGTGTTTTGTCTGCCTGCCTCTTCCCCTCCTCCTCCCACCTTCATGCCCATACACGCGTCCAATCGCCACACCACCCCCTCCCCCTTCTCTTCATTCACCCTTCCAACATCATCCTGCATCCCGCTTTTCAGTCACCCGAACTTCACCCCAACCACACTATTAATGCCTCCTGTCCTTCCTGCAACCCCTTTCTCAGGCAGTCCCGATGCACCTGTTCCCCGCCTCCCTCTCCCCAGTCCCCCCTCCCACTGCCCACCCGCGTGCAGTTCTGTGCGGTTCTGTGGTGAACGAGGAGTTGCTGGCGCTGCGCGCACACATAGCACTGTTCCTGCCTGCCACACCGCGGGCTGCCGTCCCTCTCTGTGCGGGAGTGGTGAGCGAGGAGTTGCACCTGGCGCTGCAAGCACACATGGCGCAGGCACTGTTCCTGCCTGCCACACTGCGGCTGCCATCCCCCCTCGCCGTGACGGCGTTCCTGTGCGCCCTGGCCAGTGCTCAAGGGCAACTGCGAGCTCTTCTCCACCGTCTCGACTCTCGCACGACCACACATTGGCCTGGCCTGCATCAGGCTTGTCCTGCTATACTGCAAGCCACAGACATGCTTGGCCACACCTGATGCAGGCCAACACGTTGTCCTGCCATACGGTAGCGTGCCACCTGCCTGCAGTTCCTCGGGCCGAGGGGGGCGGAGGATGGGGCAGGAGGGTGTGAGAATAAGCGAACAGGAATGAATGAACTAGCAGTGAAATGAGTACAAGTAGGAAACCCTAGAATTGTGTACCCCCTATAGGCTAACCCACTGTAGCCTACACAAGCATAACATATATAATGTTTGACACACCCCCATAGGCAAAGTGGGGGAGAACAAGGGGTCACAAGACCAGTCAAGCAAAGCAAAGCAAGCTCAGGGTGGATCACAAAGTCACCACACAGTCCGAGCACAAGAGCAGGGCCAGAGGCCAGTTCACATGCAGGAGTACAGACATATATATAAAACTAGACAAGCAAGAGCAGGTATATATATATGTCACAGTACAAGTGAAGTCAAGAGGAGAGCAAGTGAGGCAAGACAGGCACAAGACCCAGCTGGGTGCAAAAGCGCTGATGGTCACAAGGCGCGAGTGCCTTGGTGAACACATCAGCAGTGTTGGCCTCAGAGGCCACGTACGCAAGTCGCAACTGACCACGCTGCTGCAGCTCACGAGCAAGGAAGTAGCGGAGAGCAATGTGCTTCGTTCTGTGCTCCAAGCGCTGCTCTCGACACAAGGCCAGCATGGCCTTGTTGTCTACGTACAGCACTGGAGGAGAACGAGGCGGCTCTCCAAGGTCAGTCAGCAGGTAGGTGAGCCAGCGAAGCTCCTGTGCAGCCATGGCCCCGGCGTAGATCTCAGCCTCACAACTGGAGCCGAGAACCGAAGACGAGCGAGTAGACCGCCACGAGACAGAGCCGGAACCAAGGCTGAAGGTGTAACCCTGTGACGACCGCTGCGTAGCCTGGTCGTCAGCCCAAGAAGCGTCCGCGTGGCCGGTAAGGACCACTGGACTCCGCCCTCCAAGCACAAGCCCCATGCCCGACGTACTGCACAGGTAGCGCAATACCCTCTTCGCTGCAGCCATGTGCTCTGGTCTGTGTCTCCCAGGAGCAACATAGCGTGCAAGAATGCTCAGAGGATATGCAAGGTCAGGTCGTGTGCAGGTCATCAGGTACATGAGGCAGCCAAAAAGCTCTGCATACGGACCACTCGACTCTACGGACTCATCCGAAGGCAGAGCTGAGAGTGAGTGGCGAGTAGGCAGAGGAGTGGTCTGAGGCGAGGAGTACGTGAAGCCGAAGCGCTGAAGGACCTGCTGCACCATGTGTGACTGAGTCAAGGTAATGGTGCGGCGTGCTCTGTCCCGAGTGATCTGCAAGCCAAGGTAGCTGCGCAGTTCACCCAGGTCTGTGCACGTGTGTCTCTTCAGCAGTTCGGACTTCACGTAGGCGAGTCCAGCAGTGTCCGCTGTGGCAAAGACCAAGTCGTCGACGTACACGAGGATGTAGAACGGCGGCAGTGAAGTGTCGGTGCGCAGAAACAGCGACGGGTCAGCAGTAGAAGGAGCAAACCCAAGAGCCGCAAGCGTAGTCCTCAGTGTGTCGTGCCACTCACGCGGTGCCTGGCGGAGACCGTAGACTGGCCGTCGGAGGCTCCACTGGGTGCCAGGAGGGAAAGTCCCAGTGAAGCCAGGTGGACGGCGCAGCCAGATCTCCTCGTGCAGGCTACCCTGCAGGAACGCAGTGCTGAAGTCGAGAGAGTGAAGCTCGTAGTCGCGCTGAGCGGCTATGTGCAGCAGCACCCGAAGAGTGGTCATCTTCGGGGTGGGAGAGAAGGTCTGAAAGTAGTCAACTCCCTGCCGCTGACTGAAGCCACGAGCAACGTACCGCGCCTTGAAGACAGGTGGAGAGCCCGGCGGCCGCTTCACCCGGAAGATCCACATGCCACTGACGATGTTCGCCCCAGGAGGGGGAACTGCGTCAACGTAGGTGCCTGTGGACTTCCAGGAAGCCATCTCTGCATCCATAGCTGCCTGCCACTGAGAGGAGTAGGGACCCTCTACGGCCTCCGCGTAAGAACGCGGAGTCGGGATGTCTAGTGCATCCGGGTCTCCCTCAGGGGCAAGCAGTACAGACGCGAGATGAGGTGAAGCAGCCGCTAGACACTGTAACTCCTCCTGTCTGTCCTCTAGGACGTCCGTGCCAAGAGCACACTCACCCCCGACGGACGGAGGACAGACAGACGCAGACTCAGCAACAAGACCAGCAGCGTAGTCGAGACGACAGCGAGCAGCAAAGTCAACGAGCTCAGCGACTAGAGCAGACGCAGCAGTGGACTCAAAAGAGGGGTCAGTGACGACAGTAGCAAGCAGACGCGTGACAGTAGGACTGGCAGCGCGAAGAGAGTCCGACTCAGGGTCGGCAAGCGCAGGAAGAGAGGACTCAGGAGGCGAAGGCAAAGGGGCACGCAGAGGAGCAGTGGACGGACGCAGAGACATCCGGTGCGTGCCAGGGACAGGAGGAGGACGCTGGCGCGAACCGCGACCACTAGCGCGAGCAGCACGAACAGGCGACGCGGGACGAGACGCAGGCTCACGACGCTCAGCAAGACCTCCAGTAGGACCAGTGTAAGGAGAGGGAGCAGGCAGAGGAGAGGAAGGCTCCAACAGTGACTGCGACTGGACAGGCTGTGGACACTCTACCGAAGGAGAAAGACCAAGAACCTGCTGTAGGAGCGGAACGAAGTACGGCCGAGGCCGCGCGGCAGCTCCAGACTCAGCAGGGACAGCACCAGCACCCTCAGCGACAGCACCAGCGCCACCCACACCTCCAGCGGCAGGACCAACAGCAGTAGGCTCAGCACCAACGCCCTCAGCACCTCCAGCTCCAGGAGGACCCGCAGGTCCAGCAGCTCCGGGACCGGCAGCACCCGCACCCTCGACGGTCGAAGAAGCTCCAGCTCCAGCTCCAGCAGCACCTCCAGACTCAGCAGCACGCCTCCAGCGGCGAGCGTACCACTCGCGCAGCTCCTGTGGAGAGAGGGGCTCCCGGCGAGACGCAGCAGCAGGAGAAACCCCAGGCTCAGCAGCTCCAGACGCAGCAGGGACAGCACCAGCGCCCTCAGAGACAGCACCAGCGCCACCCACACCTCCAGCGGCAGGACCAACAGCAGCAGGCTCAGCACCAACGCCCTCAGCAGCTCCAGCTCCAGGAGGACCCGCAGGTCCAATAGCTCCGGGACCGGCAGCACCCGCACCCTCGACGGTCGAAGAAGCTCCAGCTCCAGCTCCAGCAGCACCTCCAGACTCAGCAGCACGCCTCCAGCGGCGAGCGAACCACTCGCGCAGCTCCTGTGGAGAGAGGGGCTCCCGGCGAGACGCAGCAGCAGGAGAAACCCCAGGCTCAGCAGCTCCAGACGCAGCACCCCCAGGCTCAGCAGCTCCCGACCCAGCACCCCCAGACCCATCACCTCCAGGCACAGCACCCCCCTGCTCAGCACCCCCAGGCTCCGCACTCTCCGCAGTAGCACCCGCAGGCCCAGTACCCCCAGCAGTAGCACCCCCAGGCTCATCACCCCCGCGCACAGCACCCCCTGAGTCAGCACCCCCAGGCTCAGCACCCGCAGCAGCACCAGTCACCTGTAACCTCGACCGGGTCAACGGCGTCTACCTGGGACACACCTGAGGGGGCAGGAACCTGAGGGGGGAGGGTGTCTACCGGGGGGGGAACCGGTACAAGGAAGTCCGGGGGAGGGGGGAGGGAAGGAGTGCGGTAGGGGAAGAGACGGTAGAAGGGGACTGACTCGTCGAACGTGACGTCCTGGGAGGACAGAACACGACGAGAGGAGGGGTGGTAAAACTGCCACCCTGGGGCGTCAGTGGGGAAGCCAAGGAAGACACAGGGAGCAGCACGAGGGGACAGCTTGTCCGCAGACAAGTCGCGGACAAACGCCCGAGATCCCCAGACACGGAACACAGACGCATCGCCAACCTTCCCTGTCCACAGCAAGGCTGGGGACATCGCAGGCCGAGAGACCCGGGGGTGAAGGTTGAGCTGATGCGCCGCGTACCTCACCGCAAACGGCCACAGAAAATGGGGGGCAGCCGCATGCATCATGGACGTACGAGCGACATTCATGACCATGCCAATGCGGCGCTCAGCAATCCCATTTTGCTGTGGTGAGTCCGGAAGCGTGAAGGACTGGCGGATGCCTCGCGCACGACAGTAGGCACGCAGAAGGCCAGAGGAGAACTCTCCGCCTCTGTCCGAGTGCAGACGCAGAACAGGAAAGTCCGAGCCGAAGCTCTTCCTGAGCCGGAGACGAGCCTCGCGGATCCAGTCGATCAGCACCTCAGTGACCTCACCCTTGCTGCGCAAGGGGAGGACTGTGGTGTAACGCGAGTAGTCGTCAACCACCAACAGGAAGTAGCGCTCGTAATCCTGCCCACGGACGGGGGCTGGGCCCCACACATCCATGTGAAGCGTCTGCAGGGGAGCCTCTATCGGGGGGAAGTGGGAGGAGTGAGGAGTAGCCCGGAGGCGACCCTCGACACAGGGGACACAGGAAGGTCCTGGCCCGGAGGGGAGAGGAGGGAGAGACTGGGGAAGACCAGAGACAAGGACACGGGAAGCCATGCTCCGAAGACGGGGCAAGGAGGGGTGGCCAAGACGGTGGTGCCACAGGAGAGTCTCGTGAGACAGGAGGCGACAAGTACAGGGGGCAGACTCAGGACCAGACCTGGACGCAGCAGCAAACACCTGACCCGACGCTGCTACCTGACCGGACGCGGGGACAGGAGGAGACTCAGTGGTCAGGGTGTAGAGGCTCGACCCCGGCCGACGCGAGAACGTGGCCAGGTGCCGGCCTGTGCGTGCGTCCGTGCAGTGGGTCACCCGCTGACTCGCAGGAGTGAACTGGTGAACCCCCGCATCCTGTAGGTCTGCACCACTCACCAAGTTCGTCGAGAACGAGGGGAGGTACAGGCCAGACAGGGTGCCCGAGGGGGCAGCCGGACACGGGAGGACAGTGGAGAAGTGAGCGAGGACAGGACCCCCAGAGGGGTCAGCCAGGGAGACTGCAACCGGCCGACCAAGCGGCGTGAGTGTGGTGCGGTCCCGAAAGAAGGAGCGAGAAGCCCCAGAGTCAAGTGTAAAGGTGAGGGAGGCCGAAGCCAACGCGGTACCTGAGAGCGCAGCCTCACCCGCACCTGAGGAAGCAGACTCACTAGCACCTAGAGCAGCAGCCGCACCTGTACCTGGAGCAGGAGACTCACTAGCACCCAGAGCAGCAGCCTCACCAGTAGCTAGAGCAGCAGGTCCTATACCTGGGTCAGGCGGGACGCACAGGTGACCTGCACGGTCAGCACTAGTAGGCAATGCATACATGGCAGTGAGAATAGCATCATAGTCAAGAGCATATATATCTACCCTCTGCCTAAGCAACTCCACCCAGTCGGGAAGCTCAGCCTCGTCGCCAAACACGGTACGCCAGGCGTCGCTCAGACGGGCGAAGTAGCGGGACTGTGTATGACTACGTGTCCCACAAGGCTGACCAGTCCGAGTACCAGTGCGAATCACGTAAGAGCAGCGAACAGCACTGAGAGACCCTCCACTCTGAGCGTACCACTCACGAAGCTGGCGAGGCGTGAGAGACACGCGAGAGGGTCGCGGGAGCTGCATCTGGCCGCCACCACGAGTAGAAGCAGCAGGAGTGGTAGTAGGAGTAGCGTCGCCACCCCTACAGCCCCAACCAGCGTACCACTCATGCAGCTGCTGCGGCGTGAGGGACTCACGCCGGCGTCGCTGGGGCTGCATTTGGCTCCGCAAGTAGAAGCAGGAGCAGGACTAGCAGCAGGGAGGCAGGCACCCAGGCAAGCCAAAAGGCAGGCAGGCAGGCAAGCAGGCGACGCGCAGCGTGCTAGCAGGGCAAGAGCTCACCAGTGGTGGGAAGAGTAGGTTCGGCGACTCAGCGGCTCGGCAGCTCGGCGGCTCGGCGGCTCGGGCGACTCGGGCGGCTCGGCGGCAAGGCGGCTCAGCAGCAACTGCAGCTCAGTAGCTCGGTGACTCGGCGGCTTGGCGGCAGGGCGGCTCGGCAGCAATTGCAGCTCAGCAGCTCAGCGACCCGGCGGCTCGGCGGCAGGGCGGCTCGGCTGTGGGGCGGCTCGGCTGCTGCAGTGGGAGATGAAGGAGGAGGAGAAGCAGGGGAGGCCACACACCTGCCACCCCTCCGCAAGCGGCCCCCTCAGGTCGCCTCGACAGGCGACGGGAAAAGGGGGGGGTGGGTGGTGGGGGGCCGGTAGGTGCAGCGGCGGGGCCAGCAGGTGCAGTTGCGGGGCCGGTAGAAGGGGACGGCAGGAGCCGTCAGGAGAGGACGGCGGGGCCGTCAGGAAGGGACGGCGGGGCCGTCAGGAGGTGACCGGGCCGCGACGGGGGCAGGCGGCGGGGCCGCGTAAGGGCCTGGGCGGGGCCGCGACAGAGCCGTCGGCGGGGCCGCGTGATAGCCGGGGCGGGGCCGCGTAGAAGCCGGGGCGGGGCCGCGCGAGAGCAGGCGGCGGGGCCTCGAAGGAACCGGGGCGGGGCCGCGTGAGAGCAGGCGGCGGAGCCGCGTAAGGGCCTGGGCGGGGCCGCGACAAAGCCGTCGGCGGGGCCGCGTGAAAGCCGGGGCGGGGCCGCGTAGAAGCCGGGGCGGGGCCGCGCGAGAGCAGGCGGCGGGGCCGCGAAGGAGCCGGGGCGGGGCCGCGTGAGAGCAGGCGGCGGAGCCGCGTAAGGGCTTGGGCGGGGCCGCGACAAAGCCGTCGGCGGGGCCGCGTGAAAGCCGGGGCGGGGCCGCGTAGAAGCCGGGGCGGGGCCGCGCGAGAGCAGGCGGCGGGGCCGCGAAGGAGCCGGGGCGGGGCCGCGTGAGAGCAGGCGGCGGGGCCGCGACAGAGAGGGCGGCGGGGCCGCGTCAGTGAAGGCGGCGGGGCCGCAGGGGAAATGGCGACCCGAGGGGTCGCTAAAAAAAAGATCGCGCCTCGGGGGGCGCTTCGGTGGGCCCAAAAAAAACGGTCCGTAGAAGGACCCGCTCTATACCATGTGAGAATAAGCGAACAGGAATGAATGAACTAGCAGTGAAATGAGTACAAGTAGGAAACCCTAGAATTGTGTACCCCCTATAGGCTAACCCACTGTAGCCTACACAAGCATAACATATATAATGTTTGACACAGGGGAGGGAGGGGGTAAGCGAGGTGGGCGTGAGCGTGAGGAGTGGGTGACGAGCTCAGCCCAGCACAGAGGCAGGGTCGTTGAGTGCACTGCTGTCCTGCTTGCTCTGTCTCTGTACGTAGCTCTATCACAGTCACGCTTTGACGCCTTTCTGATTTATCACTCTTCGTCTTCTCCTGCCGCCCTCCTGCTAGCCACAGTCCTCCTTGTCCCCTCTTGTTCCTTTCTGTGGCAGACGGTGGGGCTGGTGAACAGATCACGCCGATAGAACGCAACCAGATGATAGCTGCTGGGCAGATCATTGACTGTAACGACCAGAGATCTCGGACCTGCTGCACTCGCCCACGCACTGGAGCTGGCACAGAGGCGCTCATGCAGCGCATCGAGCACGTGAGAACGGGCGTGGACAGCCAGCTGAAGGCGTCAGTAGCGTGCATGCGGTACCACACGAGTGAGTGAGTGGTCTGCTGGACGCCGCATACGTCTCAGTCATCGCCGTGTGCTGCGGGGGGCACAACCCGGTAAAGGTATGCAGGCCTGGGTCACTCCAGCTGAAAGCTCCAGCATTGCTTCAGACGACTACGGGCTGACTGGTGCTCTCACGGCCTCTGCTGCTGGCAAGGGCCCACCGACTGGCAGGGGCGGCAGGGTGCGATCCCTTCGTCAGAATCCGAATCTGAGGAGCGTCAGCGGCAGCAGCGAGAGTGGGGAGGCAGCTGTGGTGGTCGGGTGGCGGGTCTGGCCCCGCCAGTGCAGGTAACGCTGTGGAGCTGCCACCCCCCCACCCCGCCAGTGCAGGTGACGCTGTGGAGCTACCACCCCCCCACCCCGCCAGTGCAGGTGACGCTGTGGAGCTGCCACCCCCCCACCCCGCCAGTGCAGGTGACGCTGTGGAGCTGCCACCCCCCCACCCCGCCAGTGCAGGTGACGCTGTGGAGCTGCCACCCCCCCACCCCGCCAGTGCAGGTGACGCTGTGGAGCTGCCACCCCCCCACCCCGCCAGTGCAGGTGACGCTGTGGAGCTGCCACCCCCCCACCCCGCCAGTGCAGGTGACGCTGTGGAGCTGCCACCCCCCCACCCCGCCAGTGCAGGTGACGCTGTGGAGCTGCCACCCCCCCACCCCGCCAGTGCAGGTGACGCTGTGGAGCTGCCACCCCCCCACCCCGCCATTGCAGGTGACGCCACCCCCCCACCCCGCCAGTGCAGGTGACGCCATGGGCGAGTCTCGTGTCTCGTCTGTGCATGTTCCGCCGCGCCGTGTCCTTCGTGCTCACCCGCAAGCTGCCCGGCTCCACTTCCTCAACTATGCCCTTCCCCATGCCTCGCATCCTTCGTCCATGCACGCTCATGTCAAGGCAGGGCGGCAAGTGGATGGGGGTGCGGTGGGCGAGGAGTGAAGCGGAGATGCGGGCTCGAGGGAGACATGGAAGGGCAGATCTAGGCAGCAGGAGCTGTGGGTGTGAGGTTGTGACAGTGGGGGGGTATATGCAGGTTGCTCATTGCATGCTGAATGAACACAGCTCTTAAGCTCCACATTAAGAATGGACGGGTGCAAGCCTGATGCCATGTATGAAGATGATTTCAAGCTTGTAGAGAGATTTTTTTAGAACCAGCATGAGCTTCCTTATTCACTCGCAATCTCTCCCATCCATCACTGCTGTGCGCACATTACAGTGTCGTGAGCATGTCTGCAGGTGGCTAACTTGCACTGTGGCATCGCATGTGTCGCTCCAGCATCATACCTATCGGATTTGATCGCTGCAGAATTGCCACATCTTTCTACCCCCCGCCTCCCCTAACCCTTTGTCACCACACCCATTCTCCTCCCAATCCATCCCATCCTAGCCTTTTTCAAAGCACTTTCACTTTCTCTAAACCGCTCATTCACGGCTGCCACTTCTCCCAATCTTTACAGTTCGGTACACAGTAGACCCAAGCATGTGTGAAGCAGCACAAGGAGCTGACCACCCCACAATCTATGTTGGATTATACGCTTTGGACCTTTTGCGTGTAGCGTTTCTACGCTAGCGTGTACACGCTATACGCTAAACGCTAGCGAAAACGCTATACGCAGCCCAAAATGTTTTCGGGGCAGCCCGCCTACCCAAAAAATTTCGAAGTGCTCAAAAGCTGCGGAATTGCACGACGAGCAATTCTGTGATCTCAAATTGCACGTCAGGTGGCTGTCGTGGCTGGAAATTGGAATCGTGTCCTGGAGTCGCGATTACGACCTTCACAATTTGCACGTTCAAAATTGCATGGTCAAGTATGTGGAGTCGCGCAAGCACGTCTCCACAATTCAATCACTCCGCTTCACCCCATTCAAACACACTTCATCTATCTAGTCCAACCACTCGTGTCCTCATCCCCGTCACCCAGCATGCTATTTAGCCACTCGTCAAAATGTCCATCTCATTCGGTTTTCAACTCCCGCTAGCTAGTTAGCGCGCTATGTCTTGTTCTCCACCACCCACATCGCCGTCCGTACAGACAGAGGAGAGTGCGAGGGTTCCTCCGACTGCGTCACGGGAATACCTTCCCAATGTTAAACACCCTGTGTTTAAAAACTTCAGGCTCATAAAGCGGGAAGAGGGCAAGTCACAGCAGTTTGAGTGCAAATACTGCCCCCTTGTCTTCTCTGGTGCCGCCATCCGTTGCGCGCAACACCTGACGTCATGGAAGAACATGAAGCGCCGGGAGGTGTCACTTTGCAAGAATGCACCGCATGATGTTCGCGTCGAGATGAAGTCCATGTATGAGAAGAAGGCCGCTGATGCAGAGGAAAGGCGTAGATCGAGTGAGGCGGCGATTGCCTCGGTGCTCCCAAGCGGGAAGCGGTCCCGCATAACCGACTATCTCGATGGTGATGCAGCAGGGAAAAAACGCGATGCACATCAGTCGCTGGCGCTGATGTTTGCGGGATGTCACATTGCGGAGCACATCGTAGACCATCCTCTCTTCGTCAACGCGATGAGGGACGTCGCCCGCGCCGGCGACGGTTATGTTCCTCCAGGGCGGAAGTACATCGGCGGTACAGGTCTGCAAGCATGCCGCCGTGGCATCGAAAGCGGGTTGGTGGGCATCAAAGCAAGCTGGAAGAAGATTGGAGTAACCGTCGCGTCCGACATGATGACGGACAGGGCCGGGAGGCCGCAGGCGAATGTCTTCCTTGTTAACGACGCGGCCGCCGTGCTGCATATGTGCGTGGACTGCAACATGGAGAAGAAGACGGGGGGTTATATTGCGGGGTTACTGAGGCCCGTCGTGGAGGAGGTGGGTGCGGAGAACATCGTCGCCTTTTGAATGGACGGGGGCTCCAACTACACGGGTGCCTGCCGTCAGTTGATTGCAGAATGGCCCCACATCCAGGTTGTCCCTTGTGCGACCCACGTCCTGGATCTCCTCATGGAGGATGTGGGGAAGCTTGGGTGGGCGAAAAGGGTGGTGAAGCGGACTGGGGAAATGACTTCGTTCGTCCGCAACCACCACTGGACGCGGGGGTACTTGCGGACGCCGGAGCTGGTGGAGGGGAGCGTGATGCAGACGTTGAAGCCAGCGGGGACTCGCTTCGGCACCCAGTATATATCGGTGTCCCGTCTTTGTGCCCTTCGTAACTCCCTTACGCAGATGGTTCTCTCCGACCTGTGGAAAGCTTGGGCGGCGGGGGATGCGGATCGACAAAAAGCAGCGGATGGGTTTGCCGCGCTGGTACTCGATGCGGCTTGGTGGAAGAGCGCAGAGTTCTTCGTGAAACTCATGAAGCTCCCCTTCATGGCAATGCGGCAGACGGATGGGGAAGCTAAGGGGATGATGGGGCGACTGTACGACGTTATGCTCCAACTTACCGAGGATGTGGAGGCCATTGTCGAGGCGGATGAGGAGCATCTGTCCAGCACCGACAAGCAGGCGATCCGCAAAATCCTGAAAGACAGGTGGGACGGGAGTCTTGCATGCGCCATGCACGTGGCGGGACGCATCCTCAACCCCGCCAACCAAGAGGAGGACATCTTCGGCGGGGATGTGGAATGCACAAGGGTGTTCAAGGCGTTCCTCACCAAGCATGCGGAGTTCCTCACCAATCGGGGGGAAGAGGGGGATGATGAGTGCGACTATTTACTCGCATTGGGGGACCAGCTGAGGTCTAACCTTGACCTCAAAGGGAGTTTCGGGATGCCTGAAGCCATTGCACAGAGGGAGAAGGTAAAGGCGGGCACATACAGCATGGTTAAGTGGTGGCAGTGGAATGGGACGGATGCGCCGCAGCTGGCGTCGCTCGCCATAAAGATTCTCTCGCAGCCCGTCTCGGCATCTCCGTGTGAGCGTGGATGGGCGAAGTGGGAATCAGTCCACACTGCGCGCCGGAACCGTCTCGGATCCGCTAAGTGCGCGGATTTGGTGTACGTCACGCACAACTGGAACGTTGTGCGTGGATGGCACACGCGCCATGATGTTATGCCGCGAGTTGTGCGCATGAATGAGGTGGAGCCGCCAATCCCCGTTGGCTACAAGATCGCGGAAGAGATGGAGGAGGAGGAGGGTGAGGACGACGTCTTGGCGGACGAGTATCAGTAGAGGGAGTAGGGGGGTAGAGTAGACTAGGAAGTAGTGAGGCACCTTGTTCTATGTATGGGGGATAATTTTAACATGGGGGAAAAAAAAATTATGGGTAGGTTTTTTTATGGAGAAACACAACCCACCAAAAAACCCCCTTGCTGCACTCCCAGAAGGGTTTTCTTCCCTGCCCGAGAAACTTTTTAGCTGCCCGGAAATGCGTATCCTGGATCAGACCCCTCCCGCGTTTAGCGTATATACGGTGGCGTATATACGACACGCGTATGTACGCCAAACGCGTATAATCCAACATAGCCCACAATCTCCTTCCTGGGTGGCATAAGACATCGTGACAGGCGAGGCAAGCTACCCACCCCTCACCACAGACCACCATTCTCCCCTTCCCCCCAACATCCACATTCAACTCCTAAAACACAATCCACCATGCCTTTCATCTCATCATGCCAAGCCCTTCATGTCATTGTGTTGTGCCCCTAGTTTACATTCACCCCATGCACAAACCATTCGGTCCTCTCTATCCTGGATACACATTCTTTTCCCACCATCACATTGATCCCCTCCCATTTCAGCAGCAGCATTACAACAGAACCATGGCCTTTGCACTCGCAGACAAACACTTCTGTTTTTTGCCATCTCCTGCGTCAAGATCGCCTTCTACCGTATTTCCCAAAACCCCCTCCATGTCCCCACGCCCCCTCCTATCTCCGCTCACATCTCTCCTCTTGCTTTCCTCTTCATTGGAGTCTCCAACCCCCCATCAATTCAACCGTCCCTCTACCCTCACCCCCCTCATTTCCGCTACTCCCTCCTCCCTCTCCTCCTTGGTGGTTGGTTAATGGTGGCAGCAGAGATCTCTCAAAGATCTTTACAATCAACCCCGCCTTCCTTTTCCTTGCCCCACCTCCTCCCCATCCCCATCCCCTCCCTCCCCCCCCCCCCCCCCCACCCCCCATGCACGGTACCGTATACTGCATCCCCGCAGCTGATTCTAGCTGTCACATTGCAGGGCGTGCAGGGAAGTGAGGCTGCCAGGGAGGTGATGCTCTGGGCACGGGCAGAGCTAGTAAGGCTGGAATGTGAATTATCAGCACTCCAAACAGCTCATGGTGAAGGCATATCACATGTTGAGCCATATCAACAGCCACGTCTGTGTGCTCTAGGCAGCTTTGCGAGCACACCTCATCCCATGCCTCATTCCTATCACTTCATGCGTTGCTTATCTGATCCTTGCCCTTTCTCTATCGTTGCAAACATTGAATTCAGGTACAATGGGTCAGCCTTGCTGAAGCATGTCAATTAATGTGAGTGGCGGCGAGGCGACACACAGAGATCTTAGAGAAATATTGGAAGAGCTGTTTGGATCACTGCGGCACTGCGACGCTCTTGAGATAATTTCAAGAGACATCCAAGTCATCATCTCCTGCATGCCACTTGAAAGTCATTCTTTCTAGCTCCACAGATTCAACTCCTCTCCCTGTGTTGTCACCTGCTGCCATTCTCAGCAGCCTGTTAGGCGAGGTTGACTACATTACGTGCTGTGAGAAACAAGTGTTGAGGTGTAGAGTAGAGGGTGTTTGTGAGATGCGAGAAAGACCGTGACTACTCGAGTGCGCACCAGCAGCATCTGCCACAGCTGGTGTTTTAATAATCACACAGGTACATGCTCCAGCTCTGCTCTCCATTCCATCCCACGCATCGTACTACCGTACCTTGTGTTGGGTGTTATTCCCTGTTACAAAGCATGCTGGTCTAGGAAGGAAATTGGGGCTTCTGTAGTGTACAGCCAAAGCTGATTTCGTTTTTACAGCACCAACCAATGTAATACCGTACCTATCTATCTAGGTCACTCTAGGCTAGGGTTGTACAAGGAGGGTGTCAATCTCTACAGGTAGAAAATCTTACCGTACACCCACTGGTTAATACTGTGACACATACCAGCACTGGTACCGTACCAAAAATTGATGAGCAAATTTAGCCTAGAATCTTTGAATTTATTAGCTCATTGAGCTCTGTCAGATCCCCATGAACCATCGCCCTCACTTCAACTCGCCTCTTCTCAGTTTCCTCCAGTTTCCCCTTGGTTGCTGCAACCTCCCTCCTTGTCTCTTCCAACTGCGCGTTCAATGCTCTCATTTTCTTCTCCATCGCCTCTTTCCACTCGTCTGCTCCGGCCATACTTTCCACGCCAAATATAGCACACCCACTTGCTGCATTACAGAAAGGGCAGAATGGCGGCAACGAGACAGTCAGACGTGAAGGATAGATTCAGCTGGGAGAAAATCCTTTAGATGGTTAATAAAGTTAGCATTTAAGGTCATAAGGCGTCCAAGGCGCCGGTGGAAAGCTGGGAGACAATGGCACAGGGACAAGCCCAAGGCGTAGCCAAAGCAGGAGTGAGGCAGGCAGCAAAGGAGCAGCAGCTGAGTTTGAAAGCGGCAGAGAGGACGTGGGCAACAAGGGCAACTGCATTTTGAGATGCGGTCAGAGCACCGGTAAGGGACCAAACGAGGGAGGAGGGTTGGTGGAATGGACGAGGGTAGGAGGGGGGGCAAGGAGAAGAGGCGAACGGACAGGGGTGACACTCACGGGCGAAAGAACTATTTCATGCAATGGCAAGAGCTGGGAGGGCGAGATTAGAAGCCATGAAGAGGATGAAGGAGATGCATTCCGAGTGTGGAGAGTGGCGAGAGTAAAAGCCATGAGGGTAGAGATACCAACCTCGTGAGGTGAGTGGTGAACGAGGAGATGGATGGCACGATTGGCTGGAGTACCCACAGTGGAAAGCACGATGGAAAGCACGATGTCGTGGCAGAGAAAGCAAAGTTGATGAATGAATGAGGTGAACTTGGAGAGGGAATGAAGTGGTGAGGAAGTTAACAGGTGCGCTGAGAGTCTAATGATGGGTAAATAGAGGACTTGGTCACTTTCAGATGCAACAGCACAAGAAGGGTGCAGAGGGGATGCCCACCTCGCGGGATGATATAGCAGCGAGAAGAACGACTGGCGGAGCAGGATGGCAGGACACACGGGAAGCCGGAGGCAGAGGACGAAAATGATGCCGCTGACAAAAGAACGGCGTGTGTACCTGGTGAGTGGAGGTGGCAGGTGAGCCAGGTGGCAGCAACGACGTGACCGTTGGAAATCCGGCAGGAGAGGGCAAAAGGGCGATTCTGAGAAGGAAGGAGCAACGTGACACGACGATATGGAGAAGAAAAACAGATGATGAAAGTTCGTCGCTTCTTGACTTCAGAGGGAAGAGCGAGAGCGTGGAGGAGGGACGATAGGAGAGGGGGAAGAGAAGGGGGGACGGGGCGGGGGGTGTATGCCATGCGTCGTATACGTTGCGGGGCACCCATCTCTGATCGGCCTCGCACGCCCACCCCATCTCACCGTTCGCCTCACTCCAGACCCCGCCATCTCATCCGCCATCTCATCCGCCATCCCGTTCGCCAGCCCGTCGTCGGCTTTCGGCGTCGCCGTCGCACGTCCAAATCTAGCCAACTCGCTGCTCCCCGCGGCTCCAGCAGCTGTGCCGCATCATCAACTCCTTTGCCACTTGGGGTATCGCCACATGGCGCATGGAGTTACTGTGAGCAGGAGGTTCGGCTGACTCAGGTCGATGATTGTGACCTGAGAGCGCGCGACGAATGGTCAATGGGTCCCAAAGCGCGCTGCGATTGGATCGCATGCGTATTCTCGAAGCTGCACGTGGCGACATTGCCTTACGGCGCGCTAGTATCGGGAGACTTGCGCGAGCGACGTCGTGTCATTCGGATCCAGGCGTTAGACGTTTAGACATGACATGCATGTATTCTCACAACACGTAGCTGAATCGACGGCTGTAACGCATAACCTACTCTGCCTCATCTACGGCTAACTTCCTAAGTCAACATCGAGTGAAACGTTGCTGGCAGGGAAGTAGCAGCCTTAGTAGGCTAGGAAAACGAGGATAGAGTGCTCTCTGGAGTTCTCTTGAAATTGCACTATGACTTCACAATTTCACAGTACAATTTTATAGAGCACATTCAAATATCGAGTCGCACTCCCAAGTCGCGACTCTCTCTGAATTTCTCAATGGTAACCCAACCCCTTTGAAATGAACCTGCCGTGAAATTCAGAGAATTATTGCGATACGGGATTGGACGGCGAGCTTGGTTACGGGGCTGTGATTTCGTCGGTGTTGTTGGCGAAGTCGGCGAGCGGTCGGAACTTCGGTGTTCTGCGTTTCGTAATTTTCGCGCGAGAGTTTGTGTTGGGCTGTGCGTCAGGACCTGGTCGCCCAGCTGCAGGTTGAGGCGTTTGACCAATACGAACAGTTGGTGAGGTGGCGCTTGACTTCCGCCCACCTGCACTGTACTTGGCAGCATTCGGCTGCCACACTGTTACATTACTTCCCCCTCCAAGTGGCGCCGTCCACGGCGCCAAACCGTGGCTGGTCAAATACTGATTCACAGCAGTTGCGGCACGGTCAAGGTGGCTCTCTGGTTCCCACGAGTCGTCACTAGTGGGCTGGTCCTTCCAATGAACAAGAAACTCGCGACCATGAGGTGTGTCGCGATGTGCAGCGATAGATGCAACCTCAAACAGGCCGGGGCTGCCTTCGAACATCGGTGGCAGTTGGCGTGTGGCTGGACGGTCGTGTGAAGGTGCACGGAAAGGGCGGAGGCGCTGGACATGGAAGACGGGGTGAATCTTCATATAGCTGGGCAGTTGGAGACGGTAGGTGACTGGTGAGAGGACTCGGGTGATGGTGAACGGGCCAATAAAGCGAGGGGCGAGTTTTCTGGTTGTGCCTTTGCGTAGGAGAGGGAGGTGGTCAGTGGAGAGTAACACTTGATCGCCAACCTTGAAGCGTATATATTTGCGGTGGGAGTTGGCATAGTGGGTCTGTTTGGCTTGAGCTTTAAGGATGGAGGTGCGAGCGGCATCAATGGCTGATTCGAGTGAGGTGAGGAACTCAAAGGCTGCTGGTGCGTGGGAGAGATGGGGGGGTGGGGTCA